GTGGGGGGGGGGGGGGGCGCAGAAGATACGCACCGGCGGCGGCGGAGCCGGTGGTGAGCAAGATGACCTTGATGGACGGGTCGTTCGTGAAGGAGGAGACGGCCGAGCTCCGTTCTACCCTGGTGCGGCCTCCGACGATGGAGGTGGAGCGGATGCCCCTGGCGCTCAGGACGATTCCCGCTCGATCCACCACCTTGTCAAAAAAAAAAAAAAAAACAGCACAAGAGAAAAACAAGCACACGGCAGGGTTGCGGCATTTAGAACGTTTGGTCACTGGCGTAGTGGCCAGTAGTGGGATGATCATCCTCTCATGGAACGACGCAGGTGCTCCAAGGGAAGCCCAAAAAAAAATTGTGTGTTCCTTCTCCCGAGCGACCCCCCGAGGTGGTGTGTCTACAAATACCGGAACTGTTTTTAGGAACGAGCTTGTAATTTGCATCACACCCTCTGGGAACCCCCCCCGACGCCTCGACCTCCTTCTCGGTGTCCGCAGATGAGGGCTAATGAATACTGCCCCCACAAGTCAAGACGTGACCCCTTTCATAGAAAGATAGATGTTTACCCCCCACGTGGTTCCAACGTGTGCGGGCTGTTCGAATCTCTCCGTCGAGTCTTGTAACCGTTTTATACGCCACGGAAGGCCTCAAGGAGTAACAGCAGGAAAAAAACGCGAAAAAAAAATAGATTCGAATGTCTCCGTAGGGCATACTTACTTGTAACGGTTTCACACTCCGTGGAAGCCCAAAAGAAAAAACAGTCAACAGTCAACCAACACAGGAAAAAAAAAGAGAAAGGTGGGTGCTTTTTTCTCTCTCTTGGAAGAAGAAATCGAAAAAAAGGTTTTCATATGAGCAATGAAAAATATCTGCCTGATACCTACAACACAGGCTGAAAAGAAAAACAAGACCGCCCCTTCTCCCCAGCCGCCCGAATCACATCATCCACGAAAGTTTGACGAACCTGAGGGTACTGGCTGAAGATGACGAACTTTGCGGTGGGGTCGTGCAGGAGGGTGGTGTCCAGATCGCGGACGAGGGCGTCGAGCTTCACGCTGGACTGTGAACTCGTCGCGGCCCTGTGGTGAAAAACAAAAAGCACATTAAAAGACGAATAACCAAAAAAAAATGGTGAATGCTGATGTCCTCCCCAAAACCTAAACCTTCGAAAATTCAAAGTCAGTGTAAGCTACGAATGTCCTCCCCAACAAACAAATATCGGAAAGTACAAAGACAGGAAATAAACACCCGAATGCCCACAATACTTCTCTCTATACAACAGTAACATACAACCAAAGGACATACGTTCCATACCATAAAAACACTAGAGCCAAAACAACGCCGAGCCAACAGTAGTCCCGGAAAAATATGCTTTCCAAATACGGTATAGACCGGTACGGTAGCATATGCCGGTATGGTACCGGAGTTCTTGCCTCACCTGTATTGGGAAAGGAAAGTCTGCTCCAGGGAAGGAACGGTGTTGTCTCGAGGGAACATGACCGGGGGTGGT